GTTAATAATTATTGTTAAATAATGTTAAGTGATAATAATTAATGTTATGAATTGATAGTTATATTTGTGTAACTAAAGTCACGTGAACACGTGATCTTATACTACTATTTCGTGACTAATTAATGTGTGCTACTGACTATAAATATTTACTAAAAGAAATTATTAAATTGTCATTATTGTTACATGAGCTAATATTCATTAATTAAATTCTAAATATTATTTTAAAAGTTATTATTGCAGGTGTTTTAATATTACATTATCATGATATTTTCATTCTGTAACAACATGCAAGATTTCTTTGCAGATTATCCTTTAACACTAGAAAAATAAATCGTATCAGAAAACTGGCTTAGTTTATATAATGAAAGATTAGTACATGACAAAGTAGTTGGAGGTAGTGTTGGAATCCTATTTCAAAATACAATCCAAATCTAATTCAGATTTTCTCGATCAAATTCAAATTATAAATCCTAATCCTTAAATATTTATGATTAATTAGGATGGATCCAGATTTATCCTTATTTTAAGAATTCATCCATATTTTAAGGATCCATCCTTACTTTAAAGATCCATCCTTACTTTAAGGATCCATCCTTATTTTAAAGATTCATCCTTATTTTAAGATCTATCTTTATTTTTAGGATTCATCCTTATTTTTAGGATTTATCCTTATTTAGGATCATAATGACATTTTGAAATTTTATTAATTTATATAAAATTAAAATGAATAAAAAAAATTATTTTTCAAAACTTTATTTAATAAAATGTAAATTTACAATTTAATATTATTTATTTTATAATATTTATTCTTCAATTTCATCTCATTCTTTTGCAAAAATCTCTATTAAATTAAGATTTCTTTTTAAAAAAAACATTTTACCAGTTAAATCTATATCTAAATAAATTCTTTTTGTTGTAATTATATTATTAGCATGTGAAAATAATCTTTTACATAAAACAGAAGTTACTGGTATTTCAAGATATTTACAAGTAATTTTAGATAATTTGAAAAAAAGTTGCATATTTACTTATCACCATTCTAATGGATTTATATTTTTTAATACAGCTGGTTTTGCTAAATAACTATCTACTTCATCAATATTAATATTTATATTTGATTGAATTAAATTTTTATTTTTCATTTGATGATATTGTCAATATTCCTTGTGTGAATGTAATGAAAATTCTGTATTATTTGTTAAAAGTACAATTGAACTAGATGATTCTACAGGCAATAAATTATTTGAATTAAGTTCATTATGAAGTTTTTGAATTATTTTCTTTTTTTCATCTTCTGATTCTACAAAATCCAATGTTTTATAATGTAGATCTAATAGAGAAGCCATTAATTCTATATCATTAGAAAAATCCCAATAATAAATTAATGCAGAATAGATATTATTTTTAACTTTTTTCAAAATTCCTGTTATATTTAATGGATTTTTAATAGAATATTTCTTTTTGATATATTATTTATAATTTCTTCATCTTCAATTTTAATTAATAATTCTTCAGTAAAAATTTCTGTTTCAAATATAATGTTTTCATCAAGATAATTAATATTAATATTATCTAATGAAGAGTTACCAGCTAAATCAAAAATTAATTTTTTAATAGTTGATATTGTAGAACTTAATGTTATATAAGTTCCTCTTGAAAATCTCGAGTTGCATTTTCAAATGGCATTAAAAGATCAATTAATGATCTAATAATTTCCATTCTTCTTCAGATAATATAATTTTTCTTAATTTATTTCCATCACTTTTGTCTTTCCTATTTATACTTGTAACTAAATCAACTTGAAGTCGAATAATTGCATTTTTAAGATAAAAGAAATAATTCCAAGTATGATAAGAAGAATTCTAACATATTAAAACATCTTGAATACATCATAATATATCTTTATAATTTAATTTAGATTGTGTTTCTTCTAATCTTTCTATTTGTTTTTGTGTTGAAAAAAAATTAATTATTCGTTTTACACGTATTATAAGAATTTCTACAGATACTAATCCTTTGCCAATTGCTAACTGAAGTGTATGAATTACACATGGAATTCGTAAAATATTTTCACCTTTTTGAATTAATATAAGAAATACTGATTTTATATTTGCACTATTATCTGTAACACATCAGGAAATTTTTTCTAGTGAAAACCTTCGAAAGTTAACGTTAACGTAAGTATTTCGCTATTTTTCGATATGTT